ACCGGCCGGCGCCACTCCCCGCTCAGTGGATATTGGGGCCGACGGGAGGATATGGGCGGACCACGCCGAGCTGATGAGGGCTGCACGGAGCCGACAGCACAGGTCATCGGATAGAGCTAGGCAGGACGCAGCGGCATATGTGGTCTATGTGTGGTTAGTTGCAGCTGCCTACAATCATTTCAGCAATGCATTACCAGACACACTCAGTTAACAATCCTTTTGTGAACATTTCTTCGGTCCTGTGGGTTCTCAATAGCCCAGCTTGAGCCGACCCGAGCTGACCTGATGTGACCTCAGTCAGTCCTAGCGTCCGCCATGTCGGTCCACCTCCGCCAGCGGTGCGCCGAAACGAGGTCTCGTTATGCGGCCATCTCGGCGCGTCGGCGGCGATCGGCGCCGCGCGTCACGTCGCGTCTAATGGCCGGCCGGCCGACTGCGGCCGCCGCTCATAATGGCTGACAAATGAACCGGTAAATTACCACCGTCCCCTCGCTTAATCAGTCGCGCGGCGGCCGGTTAATTGAGCTCGGCCACCGCCCGGCGCGGTGCCGTGGTCCGTGTGCGCGGAGGCCTCGGCTAATGGTGACGATTAGCTCGAACACGCGGCAATTTCTATCGCCCGTCAAAGGGCGTCCGACGGCCAAAGTGTCACGGTCACACTCCGCGAGCCAAGGCCGTAATGCAAGTTTATTTAATCCAGGACCGCTGCCAGAGCCTAGTCGGTAAAAATTATGGACGAAATACGATCAGTAAAATGCAGGGTTGAGTAATTGGAAGCAAGCGCCAACTGTGATCACGACTCGTTCATTTCCATTCCCCAGACGCTAGATTCATGAGCGTTTGCTAGAGTTAACAGGAAGGGCTAATTGAACACGTTTCGGTTATTTCGATTATGTTGCTTGCAACACTTTGGCGAAATCCTTTGGCCGGACGTCTGTTGCAGATAGATAGTTCATTAATACACCTTCATGCTTCCCGATGATGGCACGATATCAAAGATAATGAACACATGCATCTTGGATATAGTGCTGTTATTCTCAGCCGCTCCGAAGCAGTTCCCTCATTTGCCGCGTGTTGTGCAGCGAAACATGCAGGCTATGCATCACTGCAGGCGAATCAATGTCATCGCGTCAATTAACAATAACCCTGCCGTAAATAAACCGCTCCGAGCTGGAACAAGCATCACGGCGTGGCTGACGGGCTCAACAGCCAACACGTACTTCAATGCCTCTCGGTGTAGCAAAGGTTTATTAAATTACACACACTTCAGATGCACCAATGGAGAAAGTACTACATACTTCTTCCCAAAACCACTGAACTCCTCCCAATCGCTTGCAATAGCGCAGCGTTCTTGAATGCCCGCAATAAGAAACTCTCCTAAAAGACACCAAACAGAGAGGAGGTCAGGTCCTGTGCCGTGCGTTTAGTATCCTGTTATCAGCAGTCACCCTGTTGTCTCCGACCCGTCTCCCGATTCCAGTACCCACCCTCACCCACCCTGTCCCGTCTCCGTTCTACCTCCTGTCCCGTTTCCCAGTACCCTGTCCCGCCCAGTCCCGTCTCTCGGTATCGTCACGTCCCCTCACGTGTCGGTGGCCTATCCGCCGGCCGATCTCCGCTCCGCTCCTGCCCTGATCACCCAGCTAATTGACAAGTGTGTTTTTCTTCTGTTTTGGGCATTCCTCGCCGCCAATTAACGATAGTGGCCCGGCCATAAATCTCGACCGGCCGCTCGAACATGACTGCGGAAGGAGCTCCTGCCGACCGCGTGACGCCACGGACCGTGTTGACGTGGACGTGTGACGCCGTGACGTGGCCGTGTGACGCCGTGACGCCGTGACGAATGGTGACGGTCAGTGGCGTGTCATTCGGTCACCGTCCACAGAGGCAGGACGGTGTGACCGACGGTCAACAATTCTTCTCGCATAGTTTGGTAATGGGTCAACATGACCGCGTCATCAGTGACCATCGGGACTCTGCGACAGACGGCGGCGGGCACAAGACGAAACTGGAGCAATACTTCAAACGCCAAACAACTAGAGCACAGATTCAAATGCTCAGAGAAACATAGCCGAGACATCGCTTTAAACGCCGCAAGAAAACTAATCATAGCCTTTCTTTCTTGATGTCACACATTCTAAGTAAAACACTCACAAATTCAATTCAAGCGCCACATTAACAAACCCCTGTGCTTGGTTTATGACGTTTGAAGACATGCGTAACATTCAAAGTCGCGCGCACAACTAGACATGCATAGCAATAACCGGCTATGACCAAAGCCAATAATAATACCTGAGTCACCATGCGCTATGAGCGGTCATTACATGCTGAGTTTGCACAAAAACTGGGTCTGTTTAGGTTCAGTGCCGCGTCGGCACAGCCGGTTTGAGACGCACCGCCCGGCGTCCGGCGTCTGGCTAGGAGCGCAAGATCTTGCATCTGATTGTAGACGACATTCATTCATGATACATGAACCTAAAAACAGATAAAGTATAACCAAAACGTCACCAGACCTCTAGTTAAAAAGTCATAGAACCTAAATAGAGCAGTATCGTTGTGGATATGAAAAGAATTCGCTGCACTTTAAAACTAAATTCAATCACTTTGAATATCCATCAGATTAGATAAATTAAACAGACACAATCATTAATCAATCATGCGGTTGTGTAACCAAATCCAAATGCCACAGCAGTGTTTCGGAGGGTCTCGGTCTGCCCCCTTTAATGACGGCCGATAGGGGCCGGCCGGGTCCTCTGGTCCCGCTCCTCAGAGTGACCCGTCTCCCGGTAAGTGCCGGCCGGTGACCGGGCCATCAGATCCCGACCGGGACGCCGGTGGTCGACACGTCTCATGACCTCCAATCAGAGAGCCCCGGCGACCGATAGCGCCCCAATCGTCCAATTTATCACTGCTTCTGCTCCCAATTATAAAGCCCGAACAAACCCTGGAATGTCTTATCGGTCTAGCTGCCACCGAAATACATCAGAAATCCATAACATTTGGCCCAGATAATTATATTCTCGTGTTTTAAGAGTGTGCCGATAAGGTGGGCGGATAGTGGCGTATGGCGGGTCGCCTGACGAGCAGTCTGGGAGCGTCGCGCGCAGCACCGGGACCGTTCGGGCATCTCGGTACGCCGAGCACGCACCTCCGCGCCGCTAAATGCACGCGCTGGCGGCGACCGTAGAAGGCCGGCGGATGCACTAATGAATCGGAGGGCAGACGATGGAGGAGCGCTCGGCATCGCGCACGACGGAACTTTAATGAACTGACAGAGCGACCATTAGGGCATGGTAGTTCACAGGCGGCGGGGTCGTTTTGGAATAGTCCAAGAGACAGCAGCGAGGCATGATCGGCCGACTCGTGACGGTAGCGGGACCCGAGGACTCAAAACGGAGTCGGGAACGACACATTCATAATGGGCGAAAGCGATAGGCGATAGGATGCACGGACTTCTAAATCAATGGGAGGTTTCCACACGCCAGAAGAGATGAAGGACTGTCACGATTAAGCCGTGAAGGGTCCGGAAGCGATTGTACTAATGCTTCAAAAAAACGTTCTTCTTCGGAACTCTCATGAAATCTTCATGCCGCCATCTCCGATGCACCCGCGCGTCAGCTGCCAGCATACATCCTCCATCCTTGGCTACTGCATCTGGTCCTGTTTCCATATCAGTCCTCTGTCCGAATCTGTCTGGCGTCCGCATCCATCCCGTATCAGTCCGTCGTTGTCCGTCCGTATCTGGCCGTCCGTCCAAAGCGAGCACAGCTTCTCCATTAGATCAGCTGCGGATAATTACCGCGCTACGCACCCGGCCGGCTTTTTGTCTCTGTCCACCGACCAGATTCAGAGCCGTCTGTGTCATACTTTAATTGGGAGCCTGGTAGCGCCGAGCGAGCCACCGAGATAAAAAGGCGATCCTCAGGGCAGCGCCCAGTCCGCGCGCTCAGTTCCCATGAGGATTCCAGCTGCTCGAAAATAATTAGGCGAATTCGGGATGGTGGGACGGGAGTGGTATTTGCTCAATGCGATGGAGATATCCCAATGGGCCGATGGTTCGTTAGGTGTTCAAATCTGCTCAGAGCCCAGAGGTATTAGATACGTCCGGCGCATCTGACCCGGACGCTCCTCCGGCCGTCAGGAGAGAGGCTGGTCATTGGGCCCAACAATAGCTAACAGACTGTTCCCAGCAAGGGTGGCGCAATATGCATCGATTGCTGTAATCGCTATCCAAAGTTCGAGTGGAAATTTATGCATTTTGGATATGCCTAAACTTATCATCCATTGATAAAAAATAAGGTCAGAGTGAGTAAAATTCCGCCTACTGAGCAACTTTTCACAAAAAAGGCGTGTGGTCCAATTATTTTAAAATGATACTTTCCAATTGATTTCTTTCCATTCAAAATCTCACTTGAATGTAGCAGCAACTTTAAACCCCAAGCAGCCCACTTTCTACGTTTGCAGGGATGGCCCACCTCCGTTGAGATACGAGGTATGAGTTAATGGTCACGCACTTGAGGTTCGTCTTATCGTTGGCAGCTCCATAAAGCCTGCGCCCCCACCTTTCCAGACCATTAAACAGCGCCGTTAAAGGCCGCTATCGCCGTAACGCGTGAAATAATTCAATAGGGCGTGCAGTAATAGTGATGAGAGTCGCAGCGAACGAGCGTCAACACGCTCCCGAACGGCTTAGGTCGGCTGGTGAGGGGCAGGGACGAATTGAATTAGCCATGTTGTGGTAAGGGTGGATTCCGGATTGAGCAAAACCTGAATCAGAGACGGTGGGTCCCGGCAGCCCTGCAGCTTAGTGCAGACAGGCGCAACTCGTAGACCACACATCAAAATCGGCAGAGAGTGGCAACTGGCCAGTACAGGTTGTAAGAGATGATTCCGTGTTGCGGAAACGGTTATTCTGAGATGCAACAGACATAGTCACCATGCAGTCAAAGCAACTTGTGGCATCGACTATCAATACTGACCCAACTTTCCTCTCTTCACAGGAGACAAGCCGCACAGCTGCAACCTCTGCAACAAAAAGTTCGCGCTCGCCTGCAACCTGCGTGCTCATCTGAAAACACACGATGGTAAGTCCTATAAACGGCAACTCAGCAGCTATACGCTACTAAGAAAGCCACCCTCGGTATCCCTTGGAAACAGTCGAGCTGGTGGCAGCGATTATTGCAGACTGTTTAAAATGCTCTGCCGTTTCACCACCGGTGGTCCGCCCGTGTCGTGAGGCGCCGCGCGTGCCGCCGTCGACACCTGGGTCGCTGTCGGCCTCCTGACGCCTCCAGATGGGTGCGTGACGATGGCAGCTCCACCCAGCAGAGGGCGGCAGCCGAGGTCCGCTCCCGACTGCTCCCGCTGCTGGCGTGCCCAGCGTTATCGGTCACACGTCCCAGACGGCTGTTCATATTCCGCTGAACCATTATCAGGCCATCGGCTCTCAGAGTATACCTATACGAAACTTTGGGACATTCGGAATGTCGTGAGACACACCTAACTATACGAATTAAAACGGGGATGGAAAACAATCACTTTTCTTTTTTGTCTTCTGAATGTCGCTAGATGCACCTAACGAAATTTGACTTTAGCTTGGGACAACCTTTTCTCACAAACGTCAAACAAGCTCACAAACGTAGATGATCACCTTACCCAGCGACGCACAAGGCAACACCGCGTTTCTCTAACTGATAAACCGTTACGTCTGTTGTTGACTAGAAACATATGCTCCATTGCACAGAGCACATACGACACTATCATGTTCTGCAGCTCAGGCCGACCGCTGCCTCTCCGATCTCCATCTTATCGGCAAGGTCACCAACCGGTGCTCCAAGAGCCACAATAATCACAGACGGGCAGTAAAAGACCCGGCGCCGGCCGCCGCGGCGGGGCGGGGCGGGTGGCCGGGGGGCAGTACAGTGCAGTGGCACTCTGTCCAACCCCCGGGCGTCGCTACCGATGAGCTGACCGGCGGCGCTCAGCTGATCAGCGGCAGTGCGCCGGAACCGCCGCCGGCGACCAGGGCGGCGCGCCGTGGCGTGGCCGCCGGTCGTTACGGGAGCGCTCGGCAGCGGCGGGCACGGCGCCGGCCAGGCAGTAATTACCCCGAGCACGGCCCGGGCGGCCGGCCGGGCGCCGCTTCACCGACCGCCGATACACCACTGACGGCCATTGGATCTTTAATGATTTAAGTGAATGAATGAAACCGTATTTGAGCGTAATTATGCAACTGGGCTCCGTGAGAAAGCGCCCTGGGCCGGGATCTGGGATCGGTTAAAATCTCAATAAATCAGTGAAGCCAGCAGCGGGAGCGCCGGCGGCGGCGCTGCTGCTGCTGCCGTCGAATATTAAACAGGCCGGCTGATGGCCTGGTAAAATCAGCGCCGGCTCGTGTGCAGCGGCGCTCAATTGGACACGTACCGGGCCGGCCGAGAGCGGCCTTGGATGGCCGCCTGGAATTACCGGGCCGAGCGGGCGGCGCTGCTGAGGAGGCGGCCGGGAGGCGGGCCCTGCCTCCGCCGCCGCTGATGGAGGGGGGAGAGGGAGGAGGGAGAGAGCGGGTAATGAGAGGACGCGGTGGTGCTCTGCGGTCGGCCGGTGTCGCTCGTCTGTGGTCGGAACGGTGCAAGATCACCGGGTGGGGATGATCGTGGTGCAGACTGCAGGGTATGGGGATGCGGCGAAACACGGCTACCGCAGCCGCCGCGGGGAGGGCGGATACAGAACGGTAGCGGTCAACGCAGAGATCACTAACCAAACTGGGACATTTACCGAGCCAATCTAAATCGATTTGTTGGTGTCGCAAAGGGAAGCACCTGCCCACAAACTAACACGTCCGATCGTGTCTCAATTGCCTTGTTACTCGCTCTGTAGTCCATCACGCGACTGGCGATGGTCGCTCTATGTGACACCTGCGTTTGTGATCATGTTTGTCCTGTGTGACCTCGTGTGACTCGTATGTGACCTCGTGTGACCTGCGTCTGACCATGTCGTGCTCCCTCTCCGCAGGTGAGACCACCGGCGAGGAATGTCTCCAGTGCGGCGCCGCCTGCGGCCCGCTGACAGGCGGCGGCGTCTGTTCCGGCTGTCTCCAGAGCCCCGCCGGGCCCGCCTCCGCGCCCACCCCCGAACCGGCGCCCTGCGACGATATCAGCGTCGTCTGAGACACCGGGAGACCGCCCCGGGCAGGGACTGACCTCCGGCGGGTCAGACTGGTCGCCAGACTGACACCATTCACACGCCAATAGTGTGCCAAACGCCACTCAAAAGCAACTCTGAGCCGCGGAAACTCAAAAGGCCCACGAAGGCTCACTTCATCCCTTCGCAAGCGGGGTGGCAAATGAACTAGACTCAAGTGGCGCGGCGCAGAGCGTCGGGCTGGGCTCGTATTTGTCCGACGCCAGCGCGATTCGGCGTTATTTCGTGACGCGTTTTGCTCGTGTTCAATCCAGTGACATTCCCGAGATGTTGTGCAATAACAGTTGGCCAAGTTTGGACACCATCCGGGGCGTCACAGTGCTGAAGCTGCTGTAGCTGCTAAAGCTGCTCTGGCTGCTGTAGTTGCTGAAGCTGTTGTACAATTCCACGGCGGCCATAACAGTGATGACATGTTGTTAGTTTGAGGTTCTATTGCGCTGTTGTGTAATTGTAGCGATATTGATATGCGTGATACTGACATAGTCACTGTTTTAAATCGGATAGCGAGGATAGTTCAATCACTCTGCTGGTTGAAGTCGTGGGAGTAATAATGTGTTTGCCCTGTCTAGTCAATAGGTCGCTTCACGCATGTGTCCGTGTAAATAAATATCAGACAAAGTACAGAGTTTGTCAATAAGTCGGTAGGTCGGTCGAACTCTTACAAGAAAAACACACGATATATGAGAGACGCCAGCTGCATTGCGTATGAATGAAAGCGTAATCGGACTAAACAGCTCTTTTACTCCAGCACGCACGTATAAGCCGTAATCTCCCATCAGATTTATTACATAGGATCATCTGGCCATTAGCACGTTCCAGTTTCACGTGAGGCTCATTTCGTGTTTCCAATAGCTGGATTCGTTGGGCTCGTCATGAACATTTGGCAACCACATCAATTGTTCGTTTATGATCAAACCGTGAGCTTTCAAACAGGTCGATAGGATAATAAAGAAATCGACAGCAGAATAGGCAGACGAGAACATGTCGGTAAAATCCATTGCCTAAGTCGAAAGCTCTTGTGATGTAGGAGCTAAGGAACTCTCGTGTTAGCAGCTGTCTTACAGTGTATTGTGTACACTACGGCAAAAACATGTAAAACAAAACGGCAAAAAACGTTGTTTGTACTAATTTAGCATAACGAATCTGGTGAAGGCAGCGATATTCATTGTTTATCTTTGGGTGTATGAATGGGTATTAAGCAGATTGTGTACGTGTAGGTAAATACTGGCGACCGCACATGGACCGCACATTAGAGAGAAATGTCAGCACCACTGGTCTGGTGAAAAAAAAGGAACACAGATGTTAATATCATCCCAATATGATACTGAGATCGCTGTTAAACAACCATCAAGAGTTGTTCTGTTGATGGAACCAGAAGCTTTGCATGAACTTAATTCATGGCTTTTCCAGAATTCTAACAAATACAATGTCGTATTAATTTTACCACCTTCGAGAAGACTACTTCACTGCACTGTATCCATGGCGCTACTCGGAAGCATCTAACCACGTCTATCCATTCCGAGTCGCACACCGACTCCACATGCTAATGAGCCCACCCATAAAGATGCCGGCCGGGGGCTGGTCTGCAGATAGCCCGGCGCTCTATTACAATATGGCAGCAGAGCCACAGCCGGCTGCAGTTGAAGGGCACAGCTCACATAGGAAGTGGGCGGAGCGTGGAGCTGACTCCGCCCCCGCCTCCGACTGCCCCCGCCCACCGGGCAGGCCCGGCGGGGAGCACTCTGTGTGGGTCACAGGTCACCGGACAGGGTCAGGCGATGGGTCAGAGGTCACCACAGAGGAGTCAGGCGACGGACACGGCGCCGAACGCCGCTCATTGTTCACACGGGCATGTTCGGAGACAGACATGTCAGAGGTGTGCTGTCATGAGCTGCTGGTCAGCATACCCATAACAAACTCATGGATAGGGTATCAACCGCACCTAATGGATGCCTCGAACGAGTGGTGACGTTGAAAGTCGAGGCTATCGCTGATGCTCGCCTCAAAGACATTATTTTCATAAATATATTGAAAGGAGAGCCAGACCAGGCTGCCATGAACATTTGACTGTCACTCTGCTAGAAATCGAGGCTTACGAGTAAGTCAATGATTACGAGCGAGTGTAAAGCGAATTCTGTCATAGATACGTAAACGGAAAATTTCAAGTTCATGGCAAAGATGCTAAGATAATGAAGGCACACATAACTGTCGCTTCGGGTTGTTGCCATTCGATGCAGTTCATCTGTAATCGCCACGCCACGTGAGGATTGTCCATGATGGTAACACATGCATAGCGCATGCATTCATATACACACCTTGTTTTCATAGTTATGCATGAAATGATTGAAGGGCTGAGTGAAGGAATGAGTGAAATAAGTTTCGTCATGTTTGAATGAACTGATTGACAGAGCCGGAGCCTTCGCTAAGCACAGCTTGGTGCACAGACCCCGACCTCTACCGTCCGATCGTGCGATTCCAGGTAACGGGAGAATTTAGCTGCCAAAGTTTGACGTGCCTATCAAAGCGAGACACGGCCCATCCACTCAGCTGACTTCAACTGCTGCAGCTGCTCTCACCAATCGCAGATCATCCCCACTCCCCATCCTCATATCGAGCGCCGTATAGCTGTTACAGACCGTATGAAAACCCAGTCCGTTTGCAAACGGCCTGGCCCAGTCAGGCCGTTTGAAAACGGCCTGAAAAAGCCGGCCGTTTGCAAACCGCCTGAAATATCAGGCCGCATGAAAACGGCCTAGGCAGTTTGAAACGGCCTAGACAGTTTGAAAACGGCCTAGTCAGTTTTCAAACGGTCTGGCGAAGTACAACAGCCTCTGAAGATTGAACTTAATGGATGAGGATCCAGGTTGGTCGATGATCAGGTTGCATCCATTTGAATGCTTGCGCATTCCATGCCGAATGACTCGTCTACATACGTCGAACATTTTCTTACTGTGCTGGTGCTCGGCCCGGCCGTTTTTCGACAATATTACTACTGATACAAATTACAAGTCCACGGTCCGCCTGTGTACGGCCATCCAGTTGATGGAGCCTGGTGAAGCCACTACTGGTGAAGTCTGGTGAAACGTATCACTACAAGACTCACCGATTATTTTGCGGTGTAAAACGCAGGAGCGCGCAATGGACATCTGAGTTCACATCAGTGGCGCGGGAGCCGGGGGGGGGGGGGCTAGCGGGGGATGAGCCCCTTCAACTTTTCGGCTGGGGGGCTCGTAATGTATTTGAGCCCCCTCAGCTGGAGGAATCGAAATCGGAAATCCACCAACATAATATCATAGATTCATACATAGGCGCGGGAACCGGGGGAGGGGGCAGTGGGGGAAGCTTGCCCCCACAGCTCTGGGGCCGTGGCGGCGGTGCCCCACAACTTTTCATGAGGTCAGGAACAGGCGCGTAACCACCACTGGGGACACTGGGGACCGGTCCCCAGTAACTTTTGGGTTACTGGGGACCGTCCCCAGTAAAACTGACGACCTCAATTTGCTTAAATAGTGAAATATTGTCTCTAAATCGACGTGAAGAGTAAGTAATTATGTAGCCAATGTAAGACATAACCATGGATGTTTTGTTTAACCAGCGCCCGGCCTCTCAACCAACTTCGCCATGGGGGGGGGGGCTTTTTGGCCACACCAGGTTATCTCGGAAAGTAAGCAAGCTAGAAAGACGAGGTAAAAAGCAACAGATAGCTCGCTACAGTATCTTTCCGAATTACCTTCATCATTTTTTGATCAGGTCATCGCTGAGGTCACTACAGGTCACCAAATGTAAGCTTTTCACGAAATTTTGTTCCTAATTTTGTGAACTTTTCACAAGTCGTCGCATAAGTCAGGAACCAGTAGAGCTGCAATGCTGCGGAAAAAAGCGCATTCGATAGCGCTTTTAAAGGACTTTCTGAGTAATACTATCAGATTTGACCTACGGTCAACTTTTTAGCTTCCAGGCTGGCGTTTTTGCGGAAAAGGGTTTTGCATCATAGCTTTGGACTTCAAACTTGTACGACGCTGATTTTACCGGCATCGCATTTGTCTCGTCGAGACGCGTCGAATGAACTGTGTCAACTTCAAAATTTGGCCCCTAGGTCATATTGCATGTCATTTGATTGGTATTGTTGAGCTGAACACATTCATGTTTTCAGCGCTCTAGCATGGTTCTACCTAAAGTTGTGGTAAAAAACTGTTGGAGATGTTTCATGACCTAAGATGAGCTGGGGGGCATAGAGCGGTCACAGGTGCAATTTTCCAGTTCAGTGTGTCATGTTTACCTGTGTCACGGTGTTTGAATGTGTTTTCTTTCGGCCAAAGAAAAGCATTTCAATTTTCTTCCAATGACCTATAATGAAGAGGTCGTAAAATTGACCTGACATTAGGTCACCGATGTGAAAACTTTGAGATAGGTATACGGGAATTTGTGATACTGATTTCTTCAAGTAAAAGCTCGAGTTTCAAACTTCTGGGATGTAAACTATAGGAATGACAAAGTCACAAAGTTTTTAGAGGCATGGTTACATAACTTGCCCTGGTGACCTGACCTTAGGTGACCTGGGGTCAATTTTTTTCACACACGATGCGAAATTGAGGTATTATAAGCTATACCAAGTTTCACGGCGGTGCGCGCCGCGGTTTTCCTCACACGCGCAAAAAAAAAAACTGGCAGGTGTGGCCAAAAACGCCCCCCCCCCCCCACCCTCCCCCCCACACACACACTCCGGCGAAGGCTGATCCTGAAATATCATATTTTGTCTTCGCGGCCCTCCATGTGGTCCCCAGTAACTTCAGACTCGTGGTTACGCGCCTGGTCAGGAACCGTCGGGGCAGCTTGTCCTGCCCAAATTAGGGGTTGTGGGTCATTAAGGAAGAAAGCATGTAAGTGAAAAATCGACCTCTTTCACTGGCTCGGCAACTCATTTGGCAGATTAAGACCTTTATTCCAGGTTGTCAAAGTGGTAGCTTCTTCACTCAACTGAGACGGAATACCTGACTTTCTTGCAAATATTTTCGTTTTTTTTAAAAGGCCAAGGTCTGAAAAATAAGTGGCCTAAAACCGGTGAGAAAACTGGATTTGGAGGTACCCTAGGTTGATCTCTATTATGGTTCAGCCCCCCCCCCCCCCAGTCTGGAAGAAGTTCCCCGCGCCACTGGTTCACATTAAGTCCTCACCGCGCCCGGTCGACCGCCGGCGGCTGGCCGGTGGCGTACGCCGGCAATACTTGACCAATGCGGTGGAAGGCGAAATTTTGAAGTCCGGGGGAAGCCCGGGTCGACCGGGCGCTATACGGGCCGGGTCTCAGTTCTGCTAATCTCTTCCTGACCAGGCCTGAATTCGTCATCGGGAAAATCAGGGAGAATTTTCAGGAACTAGCGAGAATCATCGGGGATCACGAACGGTATCGCGATAACGAGACATGCTGAATATAGGCGCTCAACAATAATTTTCCGCCGGAGAATATCCGTGTGACAATATGTTTCCGGATGCCGAATGCACCTCAGGATTTCATGGTGCCATGTAATGTCATGAAACGGTCGTGCTTCAACGAACTCAACATTGTCCAGCTGTAACTTCATGCAGACCAGATTGTTTTCAAAATGCCTAGACCGTTTGCAA